ATGGAGTTGCAGCAAAGCCATTTGACAGCTGAGAAGCCACAATGGCACGAGCGGTGCCGATCGGGAACACTGCAGCTCGCTGTCACCTCCCTTGGGAGACGTGTACTTGAACACTAGCATGCACTGCGGGAGAATGTACTGTACTTAAATTTTGCCTTCTTGAAAGCTGTACTATACACAACAATAGAAAATCCATCGTGCAAAGCATTTGGTACTATGCTGAACAAAGCAAAGACATGAACCTAGCCACGTGAAGCTACTGCTTTAAGACAGAATGTCGTCATTTTACTCACAGAATTAAGACTCTCAAGCACAAAATATCAAGTTGCGTTACTGCAGACTTCACTTTTAGTATTTAAAGGATATCCATTCAAATCTGATTAAATTTATAGGATGAAGAATATATTTTGCCGCTGTTGTTGCTTGCAACAAGGGACCAGAATATAAAGTACATCTAAAGTAGCAGATTAGATACATAATAAAAATAAGTAACAATGGTTGACAGCACTTGGATTTTAGAACAAGGTCAGAGGATGTGCTTCTTAGGGCATTCAGTCTAACAACTGGAAGAGAATTTTTAGAAACAGTATTACAGTATTACAGTATTGACTCTTTCATTTTCATCTGAACAACCAGAAGGTACTCCTCTCCCTTCCCCCTTCTGGACTGCATGGGAAAGCACGGCCACAAATCCTCTCTTATACTGCATTGCAGTATTAACACTGGACAGAAAACAAACTTGCATACAAGATTTGGACACGCTGCTCCGATCCAAAGGCAGCAATTTTACCAACAGAGGTAGGCTGACATTTAGGAAGAAGCAACACCTGAGCACTATTTTTGAAACAATAGTACAGAGTAATGGCCAAAAAAATCTTTAAGAGTGTATTTTCACTATTAATTTAGCTACCTGTTTGCAAGGCCAAGGCAGCCCTTGTAACCAAATGCAGTATCCCTGTCCAATATGCTGGGTCACTTATAATGCATCTGCTTTGTTTTAAATGGTAATAATTAAAAGGTTTTAAGAGCTTCTTAAATTCACGTGCATGCAGTGGACTCTTCTGTTGTAGCGATTTCATAACACTTTTGAAGACAAAGTCCTTGGAAAAGTCAGGCAATGGCTGGGCCATATTTGCAAGCACATCAAAACAGTCTTTTTTTAATTATTTCTCTTTGTTGAAATGCTCTTCATTACGCTCTTCATTATTAGCGTATGACTGACAAGATCTTAACCAAGTAGTAATTTAGCTCTTTGTGATCCTACGAACCACAGTTTCTCATTTAGAAATGACAGTGGCAAAGTGTATAATGTTCCCCATGGCCCTCCGTACTCAAAACAACAAGCAACTTTTAAAAATGTTTTGTAAAGCTTGCATCCATTTTATTGATCAGCATACTGAGATGTTTACTAAGAGATTAATTATGTGGCAATAGTTGAGTAGCACCTATTCAAGACAAATGTTTTTCCTGGGAGATCTTTAGCATTTTCTGTAGATTCTAGCAACAATGCTAGAATAGAAATACATATAATAATCTATGAGGAAGAATATCTCACATGGTAGAAAATAATTCCGCTCACTATTTCAACCTACTGTTAGCTTTTAAAACATTTTGAAGGCTAATCTCCTTCGAACAGTGCATGCTTTAATAAACTAAAACACTTAACACCCTGCAAGACAAGCTTTTGATTGATATAAGGAAAAAGGAAAAACAGAAATGAATCTATGCCTCCTGCAACAGCCTGGTTAGGAAGCAGATGACATCAACTTCATCTGGAATTGTGTGGTTCGTCCGCATAAAATCAGTAACATTAAAGCACAAGCTGTTAATAGTGGTTACTGTGCTCCTTTAGTCCAAAGCAGAGATGGTTACAAAGCGCAGATGACAGCCCCCCGCCCCAGCACAGCCGATCGCCGCCGCAGCGTGTCCAGCCCGACGCATCCCGCTGGCCAGACTGAGGGGCACTTACGGAGCGATCCGAGCCCGCCACGGGCGGCCGCCCC